AAAATAAGTTTAAAAGAACAAATTTCACGGAATGACTCTGACCTGTAGTGCTGCAGAAGTTATTAGTTACTGTAAGTAATAAAGCAGTATTATTACTTTTGGTCATTTTGTTAATTGATTAGAGTGCAGATACCCAAACCAAGCCTGATGAGACTCAAGGGCTTGAGCTGGGTTCAGACACAAATTTAGAAATTATGCTCAGGTTTGGGCACGTAGGTCAAACTTTAAAACAAAAACATGCAACCTTTTAAATTTTAAGACAAACTCTGTCACTTTGTTGACTTTGTTTACTTAGCAGCACCTTTGTAACTGAGAGATGTGTTCTACAGATTTCAGCACTTTTACTTGAAGCCTTCTGAGTGTTTCTTATTGATCAGATTCACCTGAACAGGTAGAGGCGTTCGTCCTGCGGACAATTCTCCAAAGCGACACTGATCATGCACAGGGCTTCAGGCAGCTGTCCAGTCAGAGCTCTGTCCACAGCCTTTTGTCTGACCCGTTCACTGGCTTCCTGTAGCTGCAGCAGCAGTGCTCTGGCCTGTGGACATGCTGGACTCAACGCCAACGCTGACTTCACATCGTGATAACACTGAGATGTCTGGACAAGAGAGAGAATCACTGGTAGTTTAATCACATAGGTCTGACTGTGTGTTTACAGTAGGTGCTGAATATTTAAGATACTATGTGCAACTTACTAGCCAAGTCTATATCAACAAAATTTCTGTCTACATACAGTATTTAGATACACTGATTAGTTATTATGTCTGCAAGATTATACTACAAAATCTTCAATTTTGTATGTTTATTCTCCATAAAAATGTCTTTATAAAACTTATTTTACATTATCTTGACATAATGTGAACAGTGTAAATGTGTTTGACCTCAACATAATAAAGATTTCTGGTTGTTTTCTGCAGTTTTCTTTGTTAGTAAGAAAAACTAAAGGTTTTAAGTGTTAATACTAAACACTGTTGTTGTCTCTGACCTTGCCATTAGTTACTTGTGGGGCTGTGGACCTACACGTCAGATGTCCTATTTAACTGCTTGAATCTCTACAGCGTCAGCCACCTGCCTGGGTAAAAGTGTATGCTGCTGTTTTTAGTTTTCTGAAGTGTAAGGGGTCCCTGCAGGTCTCACCTGGTTGAGCTGCTTGTGCAGTTGCGCTCTGAGGATGTAAAGGTCAGAGGTAGGACCTGACACCATCCAGTCGTTCACCAGCTTCAGACAATCAGAGCAGTGCCCTGCAGCTGCCAAACTGGCCAGGCTGGAATACAGGGTGCACAACACATCAATGAGCAATGCATGTTCATTAAAAACCAAATTAGGATGAGAACCATAAAAAACAAAACTATAGATTGTAAATGTCATCTGACTGAAGACTGACTCACATAGTTAATAAATTTGTGCAGTGTGAGTTAAACCCGTTATAATATAGATCGATGTACAAATCTAACATATTGTATGTACAGTCTATACCTTCTGACTGTGTAGGCCCTACAGCCTGGCTTCACCTCAGCAGCTTTGCTGAAGGCCTCAAAAGCATCTAGGAAAAGGCCTCGGTCAAACAAACACTGGCCCTAAAAGCAACAGGAAACAGAAAGAAGCTGTTAATTATTTTATGTTTAGCCATCTGAAAGTTATGTGAAAGTTTTCTGAAGGGTGTCTTTCCACTGGGCTGCTGGAATTTAGAGCTAAATATCAAAAGGCTTTTTCTCTTTGCACAAGACTTCAGTTTGGTTTGTACATAAATACAGAAAATATCTGGTTTATTTGGAATGGAAAAGAATATAAAAACACTTTATTATCTATGGTTTGTGTATCACAAAAGCATGATTTCATATCTGCTGCCATTGTTCAGTGGTCTGGGAATTAACTTTATTCACCTCTGATTTTCCTCTTCTTCTGCTGTGTTTTTACTCTAAGTTGCGCTAAATAGATGCACACTAACATGTACCTGTAATAGTGACAACAAACCCCAGGCCTAACAGAGGAGTGCTATAGAGACACACCTGGAGATAGTAAATGAAGGCCAAGCGGTCGCTGAAGGCTCCAGGCTCCAGGAGCCAGGCCTGTTTATAACAAGCTGCTGACGACTGGAAGTCACACAGCTGCAGGTAGGCCTCTGCCTGGCTGACATACAGCTGAGTCTGAAACACATGGCAGCAGAGGTTATCACACTGATAAACAAAAGGAAGATACAAACAGCATGTCTGACACAGGAAACGGCTGAAGCTTACAATAGATAAACAGATTAACTGAAACCACCAGTTGGGTAGTGCATATGTCATTACATTTTTGCTTCTCTCATAAACACCTGCTTTATTTAACATAAAAAATGTGTCAGTTTTAGCCCTAATGAACTGTGGAAGCACAAATCAATAACACACACTAAGCATTTACATGGATAACTGTGTGTCCCAGCTAGTCCAGCACCTGTTCTGGCTGCAGTGTGATGGCTTTGGAGAAGCAGATCACAGCTTTCTCATACTGGGACTTTCCCATTGCCTCTTTTCCATTTGTGTAACTGCAAAGAAAAAAATCACAAACATTATTATTCAACCCTGAAAAAGCAGAATGAATTTTACATTTCATGTTGCTCTTACATAGGCCTAATTATATTTTCCATTACATGATTGTTGCTTCTCTTGTAGAAAACCTCTGTGCAGTAAATCCTAAAACAAGATACTACAGTGCAAATTCACAACACATGGCTGTTAGTAAAGATAAGCAGAACCCTTCCATTAATTGCAGAAAATCTGCGTTGCTTTTATTACATCCCCAATTCTCACTGCTCTGCAGCCTTGGTCCGGATGATGAGGTTGCCCTGTAGGTCTGGTCTTGGAGGGAGTTTCTCTTCTGGATCTCTCCAGATTTTACTGGGGCCAAAACGGTGTTTGAAGATGTTTCTTCTCCTGGCCTCCTCCAGCTCCTCCTCTGACACAGTGGTGGGATATAAACTCTGCTCTTCTGCCTGCTGGTGGACAATCAGAGACAAAGAATTAATATTAAATAAGAAATGTATCAGTTTCCCTGAGGTATGACAACCTACAAGCAAGGAGGATTAAACTATCTCCCTTAAAGTCCAAAACTCCTCTAAAATTTAATGTGAAGGTTAGGGCTAGCTTAGGTTAGTTAACTAGCTAACCACCAGAAACCAAAAACCTGTCATTTCTAGCAAGTTTGCTACATATTTGCTGCTGTTTTTCAACATTATTTACCGTGTGGTTATTTTTCTCCTCAGACGTGTCCATAGTGTTGTTGAACTATGTTAGCCGAGAAAGCTATTTAACATTAGTTCAATAATTTTTACTCTGCCTTTTTCACCTTGTTAGCATTTTAGAGTTGCTGCATGATACTACAAATCTGGACGTTACTATGGAAGCCAACTTCAACACGACGCCGCGCGCGACAGGAACCAGAAGCTTTTATTTTTTAAACAAAGATTTTCTACTTGGAGAGAGAAACCTGTTCCTGTCTCTTCCGTAGTCGTTTAATCCAATCAGGATAGCTCTAGGTTCTTGATTCTACACACAGTTAAACTAACTTCTTTGTAACTAGAAATTGCCCATAAACTACATTAAGACTTTTACTTTGAAAACCAAAAACCAGGAAATAAAAGGCGCACTGGATGATCAGGTGACTTAAGTGTTGACAAGGCAAAGGTGGCCGCCGGTGGAAGAAGTATCCGACAAACTGTTTCGGCAATGACAAACTGGTAGGGCTGTAACAACTGCGGTATCTGATGTTTATTATGTATTTGTTCTGTCCTTCTGCGGCGGTGTGTGCCAGTTTATTCAATAGCTAGTGTGTTTTGCCTGACTAGAGATCCATGTAAACGGTGAACCAGAGAGAGAGGCTGAAACCAGGAGACACTACTGCTGTCGGTATGGACATCGAGAGCGAGAGAAGGAGGCTGCTGGATGCGGAGGGTGGAGATGGAGACCCTACAGGACTCATGTCAGAGCAGGAGGCTTATTTGAGGTCAGTTAGCGCACAAATAGCTGCAGTCAGTGTACTGCATAATTACAAACGGGCAAAGATTGTTAAAGGACCATTCCAAAGCTTTGCATGTCTCAGCCCATTTACTACAAATGCTATATTTTACAACACATACTAGGCAAACAATACTGGGGTGTTTAAAAAAATTTGAATGTGCTTCTTTTACATTTGTTTCCAAACAATATACAAATTTTGTACACCTTTTTAAAACACGCTGACCTAATTATTAAAAGCTTTTTTTTCCATCAGTGCTGCAGTATCATTTTGAAGGATCTGCCCAGGACTTGCTTAATCATGCAGCTATAATGTAACTGACATTAACTTGTGAAAACATAATGTTAAACATAATAGATTGCATGTCAAGCCAGCTTCTAAATTTGTGGTGTTAACAATGATTATTTTTATTGAATGGAAGCCAGTTTCTGCTTGGAACAGCAGAAAATATAAATCTAGACCTGTACATTCTGCATTCAGAAATAGTCAGTGGAAAGTTTGCCTAATTTGTAGGTACAGTACATTGTCTGTATATATGATGGACGTGGTGTCACCACTTCCCTTCCCTATGCAAAAATGAGGCCAAAATATCATGAATGCGGTGGCTGCCATCTTACTCTGTTGCAACCAGAAGTGGGGTGACAGCATCAGACCGCCAACCAAAACTGTCAACTCAACTAAAATACACCTCTTTTTATCAAATAAGTTATTTAAAAACAAGCTTTCAGAAAAATAACTACTTGTTCACACACCAGCATAATAGTCTCTTATTATATGCTTATATATTTTTATTATATTGCTGCATTTGCTGCTTAAAGTGCCTTAGATTTTGTTTTACTTATTCATCTACTTTATATTTCACTTGTTTTGTGTGGCATTCATGTGGACGGCAAAGTAAGAATTTCATTGTACAGGGAAACATGTTTCCTAACTGTGCATATGACAAACAATTTGACCTTAATATCTACCAGTGCTGCGTGTAAGCAGCTGAGTTGTCCCTTTGACTTTCACCTCCTTCATTCTGTTCCTGTTTCTCTCTACAGCAAAGTGAAGAACAGGATGTTGTACCTGGCAACATTTGCGTCTGTTCTGGGCCCCATGAGCTTCGGCTTCGTGTTGGGCTACAGCTCTCCTGCCATCCCTGAACTCGCCAGAAACGCTGACCCTCGGCTGCGGCTGGACAAGGACCAGGCCTCCTGGTTTGGGGTATGATGGCAGCCATGATGTTTTAATGTCACATGACTCAAAGCAACACTGTTTCTTTTTGTTTTGTGTTCCACTGCAATTGCTGCTTCTGTTGTAGAATGTGTCATTTTCTTGTTAAACAGGTGTTTGTGTGTGAATGTGCTGTTTTTATGTTATAAATTCAAATTGGCATCATAGCTAAACGTGACCAAACTGTTTGGGTAGAAAAGCTAGTCAGTAACAAAGTGCAGAGTTGAACAAAATGGCCATAACTAACCATTGTAGTTCTTTCCTTGACATAAATTGGGCTTCTGAAACTGGTAAAATTCAAATAAATGGTAGAACTTGTATGTGTTGTGTGTCTTTCAGTCCATAGTGACAGTGGGAGCAGCAGCAGGTGGCCTGCTGGGTGGTTGGATGGTGGAGAAGATCGGCAGGAAACTCAGTCTGATGCTCTGTTCGCTGCCATTTGTCGTCGGCTTCATCATCATCATCGCAGCACAGAACGTGTGGATGCTTTACGTCGGCAGAGCAATCACTGGCCTCGCCAGCGGAGTCACGTCACTGGTTGTCCCAGTAAGAAGCACCTGGCCGCCTTCCAGTTCCGTCTGGAAAACAAAATATCTGTCGGTCATTCTAGTGCCTCAGAACAATTAATCATGTTATCATTTGTCTCAACACTGACAACGTTTTAAAGTGAATCAAAAGGCAGATTATTTAAAGAAGTCCTTGGTCTGATTACGTTGAGACCCCAGTTTATCAGCTGGTCAGTAATCGCATTTGGCAAATCTGTGTTTTCAACCACATATTTATAAAACTTCTTTCAGTGAAGTTGATCTCTAGATGATATTATGTTAGATGAATGACTTTAGAGCTGAAACAATTAGCCAGACAACTGGTATATTAGTTGACAGAAAACTGACTGGCAACTACTTTGATAATCGGTTAATCTTAGGTCATTTATAAAGAAAAAATACTAAAGTCCCTGGTTTTAGCTTGTCAGTTGTAAGAATTTGCTAAATTTCTGTTTTTATATCAGTGTAGATTGAATATGTGTTAGACTGTTGGAAAGACAAAAGTAATTTCTGGTCATGATTTTGTGCATTTTTCCTCTGTATGCATCAGTATAATAGTAACTGACTAATCATTTCAGCACCGCTTGTCTATAGATAGAAGTCTCTGCTGAAATGTCTGCAATGCGACTGAGAGTTGTACGAGTGCTCAGAGTTACTGTGTTGCTATGGTTTGTCCTTCCTGTGTAACTTCCCCTTTTTCTGTCTTTGCACAGCTATACATCTCTGAGATGGCACACGAGCGAATCCGTGGGATGTTGGGCTCCTGTGTGCAACTCATGGTGGTGCTAGGCATCATGGGAGTTTATCTCGCAGGTATGTGAGCTCTACTGTTAGTGTTTATGGCATCTTGAAATCTGAATGTGTACAGTCTGAGTAGATAAGAAAGAACAAACCTCACAAGGCAGATGTATTGGTATAGCAGCTCAACAACAACAAGGTAACTCTCAGAGCTTTAAATAAGGTTATAAAGGTAGCAAATCATAAAGGCTTCAGTCCTGGTTTAAGAGGACTGAGCAGTCTAGTTGTTTGGGGGTTTCTTCCAGATAAGTGGAGCATGAAAACTGAATGCTGCTTCTCCATGTTGAGTCCTCCTAGTACTGAGGAGAGTCAGGAGACCTGTCCCACAGAGTGACCCTGCCACAGTAGTTTACAAGCTGTAAACCATAAAGATGTTTCTGTTATGTAACTTAGAACTTTATGACACTGACCATTGTGACAGTGGCTACATAATGCCGAGCTGTCACTCTGTCAGACACCTTGTGCTGTGTGATTTAAAGGGCTTTTTCTGGGCTTGTTGCACTATGTTGAAGCTCTGGATCAAAGGTTGATAAGAAGAGATGGTCAAACGCTGCAAATCATCTTGTGATTGTGATCAGAGTCCTTTGCATTCTCCTTGACAGCAGCTTCACTGCTTGGCCTGTTTGAAAATAGCTGCTTCTCACTAATCTCATTAGCTGCATGCCATTCCCATTTCCAGTGAAGGGAACAGTTTGCAAGCTAAAACTTAATGTTTGTCACAAACCAACATCTGCTCAGCACAAAGGTGAACGCCAGTCACTGGAGAAGATGCACTAGAACAGTCAGATCAGCAGAGACAATTTTATTTTTATTTTTTAAGACGCAGCAGGTGAAGACAGTGAGGAAACCCAGTAAAAGAGGAGATAACCTTCCCATGTTATGGCATAAATGTAGGCTTTTTCCTGTTTATTCATTCCTGCAGTTCTTTTATTATAGCAAGTAAACCAGAATAAAAATGGGTATGTCTGAGTGTGGACTTTTTGGAGCACTGTGGTCTCTTCCCTGCAGGTCTCTTCCTGGACTGGCGCTGGCTGGCAATCTGCAGCTCTATCCCGCCGACGCTGCTGGTCGCCTGTATGTGCTTCATGCCAGAGACACCCCGGTTCCTCCTGCTACAGGGCAAGAGGCAAGAGGCTAAGGAGGCATTGCGATTCCTGCGAGGAGAAGGTGCACCCGTTGAATGGGAGTGCAGCCGCATCGAGGACGCCTATGCCGAGCAGGTGAGTCTCTGGTTGGTTGGTTGGCTTTGTGGTGGACACCGTCAGCCAGTGAGAAAGCGGTTTATGGTTGAGCTGAGAAACGAGGGTCTAGTGCGCATCCTCAGCTGAGTGTTTGTGTCAGTGAAGTGAGTCTAACCGCAGTGACTGAGGTCTTTCTGTTCTCTTTCAGAGCTCTAGTTTCCAGATGTCTGACCTGAAGGACCCGGGGGTCTACAAGCCACTGGTTATTGGCATCATGCTCATGGTTTTTCAGCAGATGTCAGGGATCAATGCTATTATGTTCTATGCTGAGACCATATTTGAACAAGCACATTTTAAGGTGATGGGCTTCACACTGTTGCATCTGGGGGTTGTTGTTGTTGTTGTTGTTGTTGTTGTTGTTGTTGTTTTTTCAGGGGAAATCAACTCCGACTCAACTTTCCATTCAGTTGCAGTTACACTTTGCTCAGTCATCTCTGCCCTTTTGTTTTATCTGTTATTGTGCTTGTAGTTGTGTCGTCAGTTGCCCAGTAAAGTGCTGCGATGTAAATTTGGTGAAAATCTGGATTTATTGCTACTGTGGGTGATTAAAAAAAATAAAGGGCACACCATAACTGGAACCATATTTGGCCTGTTCTTGCCAACAATTGATCCACACTAGTGTTAAGCGACACAGAGTCTGCTGTCCTCTAGTTGATGAAATTATTCAGGATATACTGGAAAAATACAGTTTAATTATAAATGAATAGAAATATGATCAATCAAATACGCTGGAGTCTGCTGTTGGTATCACACAACTACCTATCACACAGAACATTCATTAAACCATAAGATAGGACTTTCCCTATGAAAAATCAATTTAAAACCGACTCTAAATGCAAACAAAAAATTGATTTGGAAAAAAAAAAAATCGACTAGATTTCAACTAAAAATCCCTCACACAGTTGTAATTTAATTGTGCTGTGATGCGTTAATTTTGTTGATAGATGTGATGTCATGCTGTTTTTTAGAAGAGTGACCTGGCGTCAGTGATCGTGGGTCTCATTCAGGTCGTCTTTACAGCAGTAGCAGCGCTCATCATGGACAAGGCTGGAAGGAAAGTCCTTCTCACCATCTCAGGTACTGAGAATCCCTGAAGGTTTTAATCTGCTATCATGTTTACAGCTCTGTGTAGCTTTCTCTTGAGCAGCAGTCGAGGCAGTCAAGGGTGCAGCGTATTCTTGTCCATTTATTTCATGCTCCAGGTGCTGCCATGGCGATGAGTGCCACAGCGTTTGGGGTTTACTTCCACCTGACACCCAAGCCTCCCAGCACCACGTCACTGAGCCTTTTGATGCAGAATGTCCAGAGCCAGGCTGGTGAAGGAGCCAGTGCAGACCTGGCCTGGCTGGCCCTGACCAGCATGGCCATCTTCATCTCAGGTGAAATCATGACTTGGTGTTCTGGGTCTCTTTGTGTTTCTGGGTGCTGCTTCTACTTCCTGTGACACACCTCTAGTCTAGCCAAAGTCTTTGAAGCTGGCCTGTCGGTGTCATTTTATATTTAATGCTCAGGTAGCGTCGTTGTGATGAATCAAGATTCCAGCAGTGCAGGGAAGCCATTGTTTGCTAAATGACCTCAGTCCATGCTGCTGTGTTCAGGGTTTGCTCTGGGTTGGGGTCCAATCCCGTGGCTGGTCATGTCGGAGATTTTCCCTGTTAAAGTGAGGGGCTTTGGCACCGCCTTGTGTGTCCTCACCAACTGGAGCATGGCATTTGTCATCACCAAAACCTTCCAGAACATGATGGTGAGTGAACAACAGGACACCAGTTAAAGGGTTTGGTTATAAAACGGTAGACTTCGGGGCATGAGGAAACATGGGTTTTCTCTTGATCAAGTTGGTTTGTGATCTTGACTCTAAAAGCATTTCTTGAGATCACAAAATAGTTTCTCATAGTTTCAACATGTAGTTTCACATCCTGTTAAACCTGATAGACTGAGATCACAGGGCACAATTCAGCGTAACATCTATCCACAATCATATGATTATTTCATGCTCGCTAGAAACAAGTTATTCATGTCTAATTATGAAAAGGCAACATTACACATGTCAGACTGACAGAAAATAATGATTTAAGTCATTTACCAAGTGTGTGGTGATCTCTGGTTTATGTAACTGTTGCATGGGTTTTGTTGCACAAAATAAGCATTTAAAGACCTCAACTTAAGTGAAGGTGAATTGAGACAGTTTACTATAATAATAGTAATTGAGTAATCTTAAAATAATTTATTTGGTAATTAAAATGTATTATTTGCAGCCCTGGATTAAAACTGTACTGGTGTTGAAATTCATAAATGTCTGCAGTTCACTGTATGACTTGCTCAGGCCTTAACTGTATAAGGTGTAGCAATGTTCAGCAGCAAGGCAGTTACTGTACTCAGGTTGTTTACTTGGGTAAAAAATTGTAATAGACTGCTCAAAAAAATAAAGGGAACACAAAAATAAGATTCAACTATGTTGTGTTCCTTTTTTTTTAGCAGTATACTATAGCGTTACAAATGAAGGCCATGCAATCAGTAGACCGTAAGAAGGCTATAGGATTTCAAAGGAGACGGCTATAAGACGGATAAAACAGCAGAATAAAAATGACAGTGCATTGAGCGAATTCAATAAATGCTTCCCAGTAGAGTGTGTAAACAGTTCTGTTGCCTTGGAACAATATGTATTGAAATGGGGAAACCTTTCCACATCACTAACATCCTTGTCTGTGTAACTGTGACCTCTTCCAGGATGCTCTCACCAGTGCTGGGACTTTCTGGCTGTTCGCCTCTATGTGTACCCTCAGCGTCATCTTCACTTTGGTCCTCATCCCAGAAACAAAGGGCAAGACACTGGAGCAGATTGAAGCCACTTTCAGAGGAACATCAGGTCCATAAAGCCCCCCACCCAAAAAAATCATCTCGTGTCAGGAACTGAAAAATCTCAGAACTCATGTTTGTGAAGTCTTTGGAACACTGTGTGGGCATATATATTTAAAATGTGAAGCTTGTAAAGCTATGAAGGTAAAGGAAACATGTTAATCACAAACGGCTAGGCCAATGTAGACTAATACAACAGCACTGTTAATAAATCACCCCTCTGGGAAGGGTGCCATGTCCAGTTTTTGCTTGTAGATGGGTGTTGGTTCAACTTGATGATCACAGAGATTTTACTTCATGGTGCTTTTGTACTGAGAGGAGCTTCTAATATTTTGCCTCTCCATGGCTTCAGAAAGATTCACTTTGTGCACACTTTATTTTGTAGATGCAACTTTAATTCATTAAATTGCCATGTTTTCCTATCTGTCTATATTCAATAACAATGATGTGAAACTGTTAATAAAATCAAAAATGGCAATCTCTCATTTACAGAAGAGTTAAGGTCCCAACTGGAGTCCACCTGGTCGCAGTGAACCGATTCTAAGAAATAAAACTTTTATAACATCTAACAACATAATTAAGATGCCTATTTATAAACACTAAAACGAATATGTGTGTTCTTGAAATGAAATTTCTCTTGGTATATTGTCAGGAAAGGGTATTAAATGTATATTATCTGATTGTACACATGAAAGAGAATGATGGTATTAAATTTGATACACAAGAAAACGGATCATCCAACTTTTTTTTTTTTTAAGTGTATCTTTTTTATTTGCTTGTTATGACTTAAGTGCTTCACTGAAGCTGTGAATAGATCAATTGTTCTAATCTATGAACCCTTTTAGTGGCTGTTTGGTATATCAAATTCCAGTCAAATGAAGGATCATATGAAGCTCTTTGTCCCAGTTCCATCACTATGACTTATCAAGTTTGTGTTTATAATCCTCATATGAAACTGAATTGTACCATAAACTTCATGAATTCAAAGATCTGCAACTTTATTTTACACTACAGTCTCCACTTGTCAATATTTGATGTCATTAAACTAATGAATAAAACAAATACAGAATTCTGGCAGGACTTAGGCAATATTTATTTTACTAAACCAGTCCCCGCACTCTCCTCCTACTTTTCTTGGAGTTTAAATTCTGAGATTGCGCAGTACGTCCAATGTAATTTTTCAGAATAAAAGCCGTATCAGAATAATTTTACATAGATATGACTTTGAGGTGATATTTAAGAAGTGGGCGTACAAAAAAATCTGCCAGTGACGTAACACTGTCGCAGATGTTGCTAATTCAAAGAGTGAGAGTCTAAGAGCAATAGTACGTGAGGCAGGACAAGAACTTAAGGTTTAAAATCAAGGAAAGGATCCCGGGTATACAATTGACATTTATCTGCTCTACCCACTCCGATACACAGGTGGCGGTATGTCACCTCTTTCCTTTGGTTTGCGATCTGCCAATAACAGCGAGGAGGAGAAGGAAGGAAGAAGAAAAAGACCCAGAAGAAGTAAGGAGTGAATGCTAAATGTTAACCCTTCTTCCCTGCCCTGTTATGCGAAATTAAAAATTATTTTTCTTCCATCCTGAAGAGCGAAAATAAAAAAGCTATCAAAATTTGTAATATATGTACATCCTTGAATGTTTTTACTTAATTTAACCTATTAAGTCACCCCCTGGCCTAAAAGTCTCATACTTACATTGTCTGCTTCTATGTTGTTCTTGACTTTATGTTATAGACCTTTGTTTATGGTCTATTTACTTTATGTATAACTACTGTCATTCACTTTAATAAAGCAAAAAAATATATATATGACTTTGTTTATGTTTTTGTTCTCAGGTTTAATTAATTACACTAAACAAAATAAAAAGATAATGTAATTTTTATGGAAACATAGTACCAACTATTTTCTTCTTTTATATTTAAAAACGGTCTATCGGTTCTCCCCCTGTAGAACTATTGTGACAGTCCCCTGCACGCTTTTCCGGTACTAACGGAAACAGTTCCTGAGCTGTTTGGTGTCACCTCGTTTGTTGTCCGGTTCATCCTCCTGGTTTGATGCTGTTTGTTTCGGAGACTAGTGGATGTTGCTGCAGAGATGGAGTGGAATCACAAAAACAGCGAAGTGTCGGACAGAGTTTGAGACAAAGGGAGGGGGCTCGCGTTAGTTCTCCAGATGAATTAATTGCTGGCTGGATTTTTATAGAGGAAATAAAAACTAAAATCGGGTTGAAATGAAGCTGCTGAAGCCGAGCTGGGTGAGCCACAACGGTAAGCTTGTGCAGGAATCTGTTGGACCAAGTTGGGCTTTTGTTGTCAGAGGGGGGCCAAGTGATTAGAAGGCATGATGGTGGTGATGGTCGACACTTGTTTGACTAGTTTGTCACTTAATAGTCACTCATAGACCAGACTTAATTCAACAATTAAACACACACACACTCAGTGCTTTTGACATTAACAGGATCACCCCTCTGTGCTCCAAATGCATTGTATTTAACCTTAGTTAGCTAGCTAGCCAGTTAGCCCCCCTGGCTAATTCTGGTGCACTAACGTTAGCTAACTTATCTGCCAAATGACCCATGTCGAAGTTGTTTCATAGTGGCTGCTGAATATTTTTTACGCTCCATATCTCATTTTAGCAGACACATCTTACTTTGTTACCAATGTACACGCTTGACATGGAGGTTAAATATCCAAGCTGTCAGTTTGGAAAGTTATCTGTTGGAGAAATGGTCTGAATCTTCGTGTGCAGCTAACGATTAGGATGAGACTAACGTTAGCTAGATTCTTCTTATTTTAATATTTAGTTATTTACTGTGTAAAGCGGTCTGTACATTTCCAAAAGTCTCTCACACGTTAGAAAATCAAATGTGCAATATATGTATTTGATATAAACATGTTAACATTTTTTTTTCTAAAATAACGGTTCGTAACTGAGAAGATATACAGGAGACGGTAAGCAGATCCTTCAGCACTAGCGCTCCAAACAAACAGTAGGGCTGCAACAGATTGTCTTTATTTGGCGATTGATCTGTTGATGACTTTCTCAGTCAACAATGTCCGAAAAACAATGAAGAAGGCGACAACTTAAACATCTCATTTTGTCAGTTACAGTCCAGAACTCAGATATTTAGTTTACTGTCATCAAGACAAAAAACATCAAGTATTCACTTGTGAGAACCAGAAAATGTGTAAGTATTTTTGCTTATAAACAGACAACTAAAATGATTATTAGATTATCAGAATAGATGGCAGTTAATTTTCTGTCTAGCAGCTAATCAGTTAATCGACTAATCATTGCAGCATTACAAGTTTTAAGTTAAATTCGTTTATTTCAGCATTTAGTTGTAAATCCCTCCAGGGAGTCCTTATACACACAAGAATAGAAATTTGTAGATTATTAAGGCACTGCAGAAGTTACTGGTGCAATTTCACTCACTGTCAAGGTGCAGAAATGCAGGAAAACAAACTGGAACGCAAAATGTGTTGCCAGATTTCTTGCTTTCTAGATTATTAAGGTAAAAATAAAAACCTGTCTGCACCTAAATAATATAACATAACAGGGCTGCAGCTTCTTGTGTACTTCTGGATATTTTCACTTTACAGTAACTCCTCTAATGTCACAGCACGGCACCCCACAGTTTTATCTGCTGGGAGAGTAATATTGTTGGCACTGCTTATAGACCTGCTTTATACATGATAGGTGTATATAAGCTATGGAACTACTGGTTTGATTTTGGGGGAATATTGTGGAATTAAGCTGTATTACATAAAGAGTGTATTGGGAAACTAAATGTCTTATCTCACTATTTACAGTAATTCATAAATACATCCCTGTAGAGAAAAATCATAGAATGCATATTGAGCTAATTTACAGTCACTAACAAAATCAGGAAAGAAAGAACAGTTTCAAAACCATTGGCATCCTCAGACATAACTTAAAGTTAAAGGAATTTTCCATCAGTATGCGGCCTTGTCAAAAAAAAAACACACACAAAGCTAATTGTGATATTTCTGTGTTTGCTCCCTTAACAACTACTTTTTCTACTGTTCTTTGTTGGTGGTGGTTATCTATCTACAATATCAGTCTCCACTTTCTGTTGGTCTGTGTCAATGTGATTGGACTTGTATCTTTAAATGTTGACCTGTGTGTGTGTGTGTGTGTGTGTGTGTTCCACAGGCAAACCCATATTTTCAGTTGACATTCACCCTGATGGGACAAAATTTGCAACCGGTGGACAAGGTGAGGCACCATATCACATCATGAAAGCCATAATTTCCATCCTCTGACCTCGAACCTGCTTCAATGTTTTGGGATGTTGTACTGGAACAGACATTTGTCATTTTAGGGTCCACATTTAAACAGTGTCCAGTGCTTGATATAGCTAGTACAATTGCTTTTAACCCATTTACATCGAGGCTATCTCACGTATCCTGTGTCCTTTTGGAGCGCTGGTTTTGTATGTCAGAAGTTAGTGCTATGTGTCCGTGAGATGAAATTCAACTGGCAGAAAGATTTGAAGAGAAACTCGTAGAGCTTATCCAGTTGACAAGCCATTGACAGTGTCACCACGGCCATTTTGTCTGGTGCAATATTGCAACTTCATCACATGTCGCCATGGTTTCTGTTTACACTGTTCACAGTGAGGATATTCCATTTTTGGCCAGGACAGTATCATCACACACACAACAAGATTTTACAACAGCTTTTCCCTGCTGCAGTAAGACTGATGGCAAATACAAAATGTGAAAAACCTGTGCAATAACCCCTCATTAACCTACTAAGTAGAAGACCATATACAATTACACTGTGTGTAATACTATGTGCAATATTTGAAACGCCCCGTTTTACCTGCAATCTTGTTCATGTTTCCACAATTTTATCAACTATTTTGTATTCTTGGGTGATCTTATATTTAGACTAGGTGTTCGTTCTTTTGGCTTTAAACTCCTTACCTGACTCCAGGAGAGCCCTGCACAAGAATTCCTACATGCCTAGACTGTGTGTTTATGCATAAATGGCAAATAAAAATCTTGAATCTTGATTAGTTGGGCCTTAACCTCCCCCTCAGTGATTTGTAGATTAAATCACAAAGATGTCTTTATCATTCTGTCATTCAACAGAAAAGTGAGTGTATGTGTTGTGCATTTTTTAAATGATGGATTTGTTTTCAGGAGAGGATTCTGGGAAGGTGATGATCTGGAACATGGCTCCAGTCCTCCGAGAAGAGGATGAGAAGAATGAGAATATTCCCAAAATGCTTTGCCAGATGGACAATCACCTAGGTAACCGGGCTTATTTGTATTAGATTTCACATTAATTCAGACAAGCCTTTTGAATGTAGAAATGCTTGATTTATTGATATATTGTGGCCAGTACACTGCACTGCTAAGAAAAAAAAAGATTAAGTCAATGGCCTGTGGAATAAAAGACTTTAAATAATCATTTTAAAACATTTATATTCGCTGTCACTAAAAGTACATGTACTTCTCTCATGACTTATCCCACTGATTCCACAGCTCATTCTAGGTCATCTGCTTCTCAGCTCGAAGTCTGAGAGCTGAGAAGCAGATGTGAGACGTGAGCAGCATGAAAGCATCCATCTGCTCACTCCTCATAGACTCGCACCTCTTGCCTTTACAACCAGCCATCCTGTCAGCAGCACAGACGCACGCCAGTCACAGGCTGCTCGAGATCAGAAAATCACATAGACACATACAAGAAGAAAATGGCCTTGTTTTATTGATGCAGGATTTTATTTCCGTCGCCCACAGTAGCTTGTGTGCCCTTAGAGTTGCCACAAAGCTCATAGAGAAATGGTGAAGAAGTGAAAATCATGTGATTTGAGCAGCTTCCTGTGGAGGTTACATTTCACTGAAGAGAAAATCAGTTTACTCACCACTAAAATCTGGTTATGTTGTTCTGTGTTAAAATGAGAATTGATCTGTTGTGTACAATGAGTGACACACTTTCAGTGTGAATTAAGGCACGTGCGTTACTTCACTCTTCTGGCAGAGTAGTTCCACTTCTGTATTTCTCCACCTTGGTGTCGATCTCATCACCGTCTGGTGCTGACTGACGTAGACCGGTCGACTCATCCGCTAGTTTCAAACCCTTTTCTCTGCTTCCCGCAATAAACATTTCCTAGAATCAGGCACCAAATGGGCTTGAAATTACAGACCACTGCTGTTTGTTTTGTTCAACCACTTCAAGCAGGAGAACAAGTTCTGTGACTCCTGGTCTTGCATCTACTTCTTCTCTCAATAGCAGCAGTAGCTGCGTACCAGCAGCTTTACTGATGAGATGGTTGCTCGTCGGAATCTTTTTCCACATTTTGAATCTTCTTGTGCACCTGCTGCTGCTAGCTGAGAGTCCAGCAGCACAGTGTGTTCATGCTTGAGATGCTCCCTAAACAAACAGACTAAAATAACTTCATCTGTCCTGCTCTGCTACTGACACATAGACGTACAAGCAGCCAGATTTAATACTAGGAAGGTCTTGTAGTGCAGGTAGTATTAATGCTCACACTGACAGACGGCCTCCTCAGCAGAAGTCCACATGAGTTATGTTAACAACCCGAGTTAGCAGAAGTGTTTGTCTTTGCAGCGTGTGTGAACTGTGTGCGCTGGTCCAACAATGGGCTGTACCTGGCATCGGGAGGGGATGACAAGCTGGTCATGGTGTGGAAGAGGGCTGCGTACGTACACACATACACAAACTATGCAGATACGATGATTTAGAATGTAATATTGTTTTTCCAACCAAATTCTTGAATATCTTAATTGAAATGAAGTGTGTGAACAGTCAGAGCTGGTGGCTGGGGCTGTTTGACTCTGACTCTGTGTTCTCTTGGTAGATTCATCGGCCCAAGCACGGTGTTCGGCTCGAGCAGTAAGCTGGCCAACGTGGAGCAGTGGAGGTGTGTCACCATCTTGAGGAACCACACTGGAGGTAACAAACATATACACACACACAGCATATCTATGAAATGCACCAAGAACACTAACAACAAACAGGCATGTACAGCATATAGCCTTGGGTGTTGTTAGAAAAACCCAGTTCTTTTGTTAAAAGCGCAAGAAGTGAAAACAGAAGAGGACTGTATAAAATCAACAGAAAATTTACTCAAAGTGTGGGTCCAAGTAAGACAAAGCAGCGCTGGGCTCTGAGAGACAGAACTTCCGTAGGAAAACTGTTCTCAAAAGCCCAGAGTCATTGTTTCTGGTGACATTTATCTTCTTGGGCAGAGTCCGCCCCGCACAGAGGCTGGACTTACACATATCCTAATTCTATAGGCTCTTGGTGTGAGCAGGCCAACCTCTACCCATGCCTACTTGCTGACCATGTGCTAGAAGCCAAGACAGGTGTGTGTGTGAGTGATTTTCAGGCAGTAGCTAACAATGAGTACTGAACAATTGGTTGTCTGCGCTGCAGACCCCCTATCTGTGTAGGCTATTACAGCACAAAGCAGCACCTCCAATCCTGCGCGCAGGCAGATGAAGAATGAAAGACCCTGAACCATAACGCCTATACATTTTTATCACTTCAGTTGGGCTAGCCCATACTACACAGGGACATCAAACCGTGGCGTCACCTAAAATGCCAGCTTGGAGCTGACCATAACAATAGTCAAAACATGAAGAAAATCAATGTGTGTGAATGTTGATTTCATGGTGTGTATCTAAGAACATTCTGACATGACATCTAGTGACATGTCATGACATTACACATAAGAAAATATTATGATTACAATTACGGTTACACATATCATAATAATAACAATATCCTCCTGCCTGCACACTTTTTCTATCTAGTTGTCCTTGGCCATATGCACCCTGCAAAAACCTCATGAGAATGACTAAGCATTTAACAGCCTGAGCTAGACATCCTGTCTCCACTAAACATTTCTAATACAACAAATATCTAACCAATATCTATCTGACTAAAAAATTACTTAACAGTATGAAAAGTAAATAAAGGAAACTAAAGGTATGAAAGTAACTGAAGCTTATAAGAATCAAATGTGTCAGAAAATCAAGTGACATGAATCATAAAATCAAGAAAAGAGTAAAACATCCAAGGGGGTGAATACTTTTTATAGGCACTGTATAGATTATTAAAAAAAAGGAACAAACAAATAGTTGCACTGAAGAGCTGACTGACAAAACCCTTAGTCGGGTACAGCCCTACTATGTGCACATCACATATATATACTAGTATAACTATCTTTAAGAACCCATGTGGAATTGTCTTGTGAAGAAACAAAGGTTTGTTTACATTCAGTATCAACAAACTGCATCATATGAAGTGTGTTTTTAAGTATTCAAGCACTCACAGACAAACCGCTCCACAGCGCTCCTAGAGGTCCAAACCAACATGATTTCACTGTGTATGTTTTGTCTGTAGATGTGATGGACGTGGCGTGGTCGCCTCACGACGTATGGCTGGCCTCCTGCAGCGTCGACAACACCATCGTTATCTGGAACGCCCGCAAATTTCCAGGTAGGAGATGAAACCAGAGATCACTCTGCCTGATGGAGGTGTGAGCCAAGCCAACCATGTTTGTCTACATTTAAAAGCCTTTTATATTTTAAAATGTATCATTTGCCATAATTAAAGCATGTCTCTCCAGAAATGGTAACATGTCTGCGAGGACACACCGGGCTGGTTAAAGGTCTGACGTGGGATCCGGTGGGGAAGTACATCGCCTCTCAGGCTGATGACCACAGCCTCAAAGTGTGGAGGACGGTGGACTGGCAGATGGAGGCCAACATCACCAAACCATTCAATGAGGTACAGAAGGCAGTGACCGTCAGCTGTGTTTGTTGATGCTGTGCCAGTAAGTCATCGGCTTTGTCATTAGCACATGGATTTGTTGAGTTTTCACTCACTTTTAAGTTATTCGGGTTTTTCTTTTGGTTTGGCCAAAGGCACGGTTTGACTACTGAGGGTTTGAATGCTTCTCTCTCTCTCTCTGTGTGTCTCAGTGCGGCGGGACGACCCATGTCCTGCGTCTCTCCTGGTCTCCAGACGGTCAGTATCTGGTGTCGGCTCATGCCATGAACAACTCCGGTCCCACTGCTCAGATCGTGGAGAGAGACGGCTGGAAGACCAATATGGACTTTGTAGGCCACCGTAAAGCTGTCACTGTGGTGGTAAGAATTGTAGCCATGTGTTTTAAAGGCATACTTCACCAAAATCTTTCTGCACACTGATGGTTCTGGTTCCTGTCTGTGTAGAAATTCAACCCAAAAATCTTTAAGAAGAAGCAGAAGAACGGCAGCTCTGCAAAGCCCAGCTGTCTGTACTGCTGCTGCGCTGTCGGCAGCAAAGACCGATCGCTGTCCGTCTGGGTCAGTTCACATTCCTGTTGAAAGTTTTTAGGCAGGTTCACAAAGCCTGCCTATCAATATTAATACCGACAGCTTCTTTTAATGTTGAGTATAAATGACTATACAGTCAAAGTTTCTGTTCCCAGAGGTTTTAGTTCATCTTTATTGAGGAAAAACATATGAAGGAGTCGGTACTAATGCAGCCTGTCTGATTCTCCTCTCCAGCTGACCTCACTGAAGCGCCCTCTGGTGGTCATTCATGATCTTTTCGATAAATCGATTATGGACATTTCCTGGTGAGTTCAGACATGCGCTTTGTGGCCTGCCACATGTGAGAAAAAAGGTCCATTCTTTTGAAAAGAGAAGACTAATAAAAAGATATATTTCTCTATATGAAATTTATTATGCATTAACGTATCAAAATAAGCATGTGCACATGGATCCCATCTGTTTAGGATAAACAGAAAAGACTAAATTCAACTTAGCAGTACACAACATTTATATGCAAGAATGTTGCTCTCTGATTGGTCCAAAAACTGTTGGGGAGGAATTGTGGTTTAAACTTAATTCTCCCAAGATTGGTCCTTCAGTCCGTCCATCCTTCTCCTCTGATCCAATGGTTGTAAACAACACCCTAAAAGGGAGGAATACTTGCCCTGTCTTAATTCTTACATAGACACCTATGTCTTTCTTTGTTTCCAAGAAACTTTTGGCACTAACCCCCCTTTTAACAATAAAACTTCTCTGCCTGTGTGTGTCTGTATATTGTCCTGTCTTTTGAAGTTGTCTTCCTCTTGTTGGCTTTTAGATCTAATCTCTTGTTTATTACCCCTAGTGTCCCAGTGACCCCAAATTCCCTGGCCTCTACAGCCAGGTAGTAATATAACTTAACTGTGGACCCTCTTTGCTAAAGCTGTAAATCTTAAAACTCAGTGTTTTAATGAACCAGTCTCCCTTTGATGTTAAACAGTACCCTAGTTGGTTTACACAGAAAATACTGACCAGTGATTCAATGCAGACTTAAGGTGATATGTAACTACATAAACATAAACACAACTGTGAGAGTAAAATATATAAACTTATGTATGCTATATAATAAAACCCTAACTAATTATATATTTCTATCTAAAAATGAAAATCACCCTAACACACAGACCTGCTCTTTCTCTGAACTTGATGACCTATTAACTCCTTTTCATGTTTCAAAAATTCCTAATATTTAGAGTTCTAACTGGGCAGTGTGTCCAGTCAGTTTTCATGTGTTTCCAAATGTTTAGCAAATTTTAACTAAATTCCAAGAAAGCTGGAGGCACTAAATTTCAATTTGGTTTCAATTAAGCTGTTGCAGAAAATGAGGATGGCAAAATAAGATTACATCATCAAAAGAGCTCCAGTAAAGCTTCAAACTGAAAACAATGTAGAAAACATGATTGATGGATGATATGAGTTAAACACAGATCCCATGTTTTCGTCATCCACTACTGTTGGTCTTCAGTGGAGAGGATGCTTCAGGAAACATTTCGGTCACGTGCTTTATGTTTGATTGACAAATGAAGTCTGTTTCCATTGCACTTGTCATGTTTAGCTTTTATTGATGCACCAACATTTCCGCCTCAGACATGCATGACAGATATTTATTTTTTCAAATTTTTTGCATTTCCACTTGGGACACTGGCTTACCTTCCACATCTCTGAGTTGTGTTTGTGTGTGTCAGGACTCTGACAGGTCTGGGGATGTTGGTGTGCTCAATGGACGGCACTGTGGCCTATCTGGACTTCTCACTGGATGAACTCGGAGACCCACTGAGTGAGGAGGAGAAGGTAAGACACATCGTGTCTTAGTGTCTGGCTGCAAACACAAATGCATTCTGGTCCTCTGACTGCATGTTTAAAGTTCTGGGCAGATTGTTAGTGATTTAAATCAATAAGCCCAACAAATTACTCTGACTAAAACTAGATTCTTTGTACTTTTGTTGGCACTTTTGTCTCGGCACCACTAACCACAAGTCCTCTTGCTGTTACCTAAGATGACATATTTTATAATCTTATTTAGTAGATCCTTGTGCTGAGAATAACCAAATAAAAGGTACAGTCAGCCATTCTAGCAAAAGAACGAACACCATAAACACAAATCCACAAGTCGCTTTGGTTAGAAATGCGTTAACACATCACCCATAGTTCATGAACATACATTAACACGGCAACGATACTAGTGACTAGGGGAAGAGCTGATGCTAAAGGGCAGCAGTCCCCAACCTTTTTTGTACCAGGGACCGGTTTCATGCATGAAAATTTTTCTGCAGACCAGGTAGAGGCGCGGGGGTTCCACTAACAAAAAACCTTTGTCAGTTCATAGTATGTAATCTGAATGCAACAATTACACTTTATATTAGGCAATTACAATAATTCTACACTATAATATCAATTCACCATAATGCAGAGTCAGTGGGAGCCCTGGGCTTGTTTCCCTGCAACTAGAAAAAAATTCCAAGGGCTTGTCTTTTAATGCAGGGTGTTTTGTCTCAATGTGGCGAAGCATTTTTGAGGGTTTCATGGCTTCATTAGCTTGTCGGTCACCGCAAATTATGCATAGTGGGTGTGGAGCTTGTGTATCACCTGTTGCGATGAACCTGTAACTTAGGTAGGAATCATGGTATTTTCTTTTAAACAAACACGGATAATGCCCAGTTTGCTAATGTAACATTACCACAAAGATTAGCCTATTACCATAACGATTTTTAGTGGCAAATAATTAACCCACCTGTCCAGCAGAAAAAGAGCAACCTCTGTGTTTGTCTGCATCCCTTTTAAATCCTGGCGCTCTCTCCATCTTTGAAAAGCAGCATGTGGCTATGTTTACACAGGTCTCTGACCTTGCCCGTTTAATGTTATAGTCCTTTTTAAAATCTTTGTGCTTCTGTCTTTCTCCTCCTAATTGCTTAATTATTTAGACTATAACTAAGTGGAAGCAGTGGAACTGGTACTTTTTTAGCCATCCCTCCCTTTCAGCTGTAGCAGGGTTGTGAATTAACCGAATCAAACACCCCCGCATATACGCTGTACTGTGCAATAGCAAAAGCGTGTTATTGTGCTGATTCACTTTTTAGCCTATTGGAGAGCAAGCAAAGCACACTGCCACCTGGGGTTGGTGGAGATCACGAACTGAAAGGCCAGGCAGAGAAATGTGAGAAAAATGTAGCTGAACATGATGTGTAATGACTTAGAATGGCCGACTAATAATAATAATGACCTTTATTTGGCCAAGTATGTTACACACAAGGAATTTGATTCTGGTACAGAACCGAGGTAGCCATCTCAACCGATGGCTCTAACCATCGGGTGCAACTTGGGGGTTCAGTGTCTTGCCCAAGGACACTTCGACATGTGGACTGCAGGCACCAAGATTCGAACCTCTGTACCCTCCGGTTGGGAATTGACTGCTCTACCCACTGGAGCCACAATCACCCACTATATACCTTTAAGACTATACCTTTAAGTCTGAGAAAGCAGGACAAATTCACTGTAAGCAGGTTGTTAAAACTTGTTGCCTATCTCATGATTTGTTTACAAGCCCTCAATGGCCCAAAAAACAGATACAAAACCACAACACAACAGTTTTGTTTGTCTCAAAAAACAAACTGTAGCTTAAAGAAGTGATTTACAATCATCACCTCATTTCCCCATGCTTTCATTCTTCATTTAGCTCTTCTGTGGATACTCTCCTTCCTTCCATCATTCTTTGAAGGACATTAGGAACCTAAATCAGCCATGTTCTCTCTCATCCTCTGACGTACAGAACAGCATCCACCAGAACATGTACGGTAAAAGTCTGGCTATAACCAGCACCGAGGCTCAGCTCTCCAACACCATCATCGAGAACCCAGAGATGCTCAAATACCAGCAAGAGCGACAGAATTCCGCCCAGGTCAACTCAGGGCCGGGCAGCGCCGGGTCCGAGTCCTCAGCCCCTAAACTCAACAGTGTGATGAATGGAGAATCTCTGGAGGACATCAGGAAGGTGGGGAGCTGGAATGTAGCAAGCAGCAAGTGTCCCAGTGTAGCTCAGGATGCATTTGATGAGGAATCTTTATTTTTTATTTTTTTCATTTGTGTATGATTTAATTTTTTTTTTTATACACAAATTTTTTTGAATTTCTTGGATGTGTTATTTTGTCTTGTAGAACCTTCTGAAGAAGCAGGTGGAGACGAGAACCGCGGATGGCAGACGACGGATCACACCACTGTGTATAGCTCAGCTGGACACAGGGTAGGAAAACACTGTCTGTTTCTGAGGGACACAACTGATCTTCATGTAGAAGATGAGCAGCAGGTTGAAGTCATTTAACTGGGAGAGCACTGTGTGTTTTGTTTAACAATACATTTCCATTTACTGAAGTGAAGTATGGGGTACCACAGGGCTCTGTTCGTGGCCCTTTTGCCTATTGTACAGATTACAAGGTGTGGAATAAATTATCGCTGTTATGCTGATGATGCTCAGCTGTATATTCCTGTGAAGGCAGATGATCCTTCCCAATAGCTGAATTAGAGGGTTACTGGATGTTACATAACTTTCTTAATACAGATAAAACGGAGATGTTAGTGACTGGACCATCCCAACACAGAACCCAGTATGACCGTGGATAACTGTGCGGTTTCTCAGAACCTGACAATAGAGAGCCTAGGTGTGAGGTCATATTAAAGACATTACCAAGACGGCCTTTTCTCACCTGCGTAATATTTCTCAACTCAGATCTGTTGTCTCTATGGCAGAGGCTGAAACACTAATTCATGCATTTGTATTTTCTAGCTCAGATTATTGTAATGTTCTGTTGTCAGATCTTCTGTGTGCAAGCACCAAGCACCTTCGGGTGGTACAAAATGCAGCAGCGAGAGAGCCAAGTTGAGAGAGTCTGATCATATTACACCTATTCTAGACTCATTAACATGGCTCCCTCTTCATATTAGATCAGATATTCAAGGTGCTTTTAATGACATCATATGGGGTACTGCACTGTCATACTTGTCTTATCCACTTGTACCTTATGTGGCATCGCACTCATTTCGTTCTCAGTGTGCAGGACTTTTGGCTGTCCAAGGAGCGAAGACGAACTCAGCTGGTTGTAGGGCTTTTTCCTTACCATGCTCCTTCCTCTGGAACGCTGTCCTACAGACATTAGAATGGCAAATTCTGTTCAGGCTTTTAAATCTAAAATTAAGACTTTTTTCTCACTACCTTTTAATTAATTACTGTATTTTGTTATTCTGCTGTCTCATTGAATATTATCCCTTGTCTTAAATTTAAAATTCTACTTTATATTTCTATTTCTTGTTTTCATATATTTGCTGTTTTCAAACAATTTATGACAATAATTATCTTTTATTTCATTTTAACTTTGTATTTTGATTCTGTCAGTGTATTTTATTTAAATGGTTGTAAAGTGTGTAGCAACACTTTAAATACACTTGAGACCACACTTTAAATAAATTTGAATTTGAATTTAGGTCACTGTCCTTTGTTCTCTGCAGGGATTTCTCACCGGCTCTGTTCAACAGCGTCCCCATCCTACCCTCGGGTTCCTCCGTGTCCAGCCAGCTCACCCCCCAGCTCAGCTCCGACTCCAGCCCAGGACAGGGCCCTTCTCTGGGACTCAGACCCAACCATGACCCCATGCTCACATCGCCTCCACCCAGCAGCGCCCCCAAGGGTCTGGAGGACAACAAGGATGGGTATGCAGACCAGCTCAGAGGAGGCTTTTTCTGCGGTTCTGTCTGTGCCTGTTTACTTGCTAACCAGACATTCCTCTTCTAACTTTGTATCATCCTCCTCTCGTTGTCTTCTTCCCTTTTTTCTTTTTTTTTTACCACGTTAAGAAAAATCACACATATCACATAGATCACCCATGATCTTCTCGTTCTATCCCTTCCTCTTTCTTATATTATGGTTTTGCCTTGTTCCAGTTTAAAGTCCAGTCTGCTGCTCACTTCTGCCTCCAAGATTGAGCCAATGAAAGCTTTGGACTCCAGGTTCACAGAGAGGTCAAAGGCGACACCGGGGGTGACCGCCGCCATCTCGTCCACCGCTGGACTCACGCCTCTAGACAGGTGACTGCCTCGGTATCAGTGAAGTAGCTAAGAACAGTGGTACAAATGAGAAGTGGGCTCAAGCTCAAAAACTGAACCAGTTTTCCCTAAAACTAATGTTGACTTTTCCGTTTGTCCAGCAGGCCAAAAGATGGCGTCTCTGCCCTGAAAGACATAAAAAACAAAGAAGACACCAGCAGTGACAGCGAAGACAAGATGGCCACCATCAACAAAAACCTGTCATTCAGCAAGAGGAAACCCGAGTTGCTGATGGATGGAGGAGAGGTCGTGGAGAAGAGGAAGAAGGGACGGCCCAGGAAAGACAAGATGGCCGCTACCATGGCCCAGACGTTTAGTCAGGTAGGGATGGAAGGAAACGATGAGCACACAGATAAACACACTCACTTCATGCTGTAAATCTGAAGAGTGGGACTGTCAGGCAGCATCAGACTGCGCTGTTCAGCTTGTTTACCTAAAGGAAGAACACCTGGAGGACACGGAGCTGGATGAACAGCCAGAGAAAGTGCTGGAGTTTCATACCTTCACAGTTTTAGACTGAAATGTTTTAGAAGAACCAGCTCTTTCCTCTTTTTTGGTTATCAAATGGTATCAGTCATGTCTTAAGGATTCAGAAAGTCAGAGAGAGATGAACCGGTGTTTTTCCTTCCTCTTTCTGTCAGATAAGTGCTCCAGCAGATCGGGAGCCCAGCAGGGTGGCAGCTCCGGCCCATGTCACCATTCTTAAGCTACCAACACCAAGCACACAGAAGGCCTTCCGTCTGCAGGTAACACGCTGACAGTATTACTGACCTCAGTCAGGATTAGAGTACTTCACCCATACCTTTTAAACTATAAATGGAAAATGTGTAGGTGAGCATGGAGCCGTCGATGTTCCTGGAGGTGGAGAACGATGTGTCGGTGGTGGCGGGTTCGAAGCTCAGCCAGCTGCGCTGCTCCAGAGTCGGGCGAGACTGGAGCACACTGCTGCCCAGCCCAGTGGTCACAGCTGCAGGGAGCAGGTAGGAGCCTGTGCGCTGGTCCCGTCTTTGTCTTCATGCTTGAATTGGTTCACTTTCACTGTTGTGGAAAAGTTGTTTCATTTAAACAGTTTACAGTAAATTAAGGAATCAGCTGCACTAAACACCACGTTCTTTCTGCTTCAGTGACGTCCTCGCTGTGGCCTGCGAGGACAGGACACTGTCGGTGTTCTCTTCCTGTGGGCGGCGGCTCATTCCAGCCATCCAGCTGGCCACACCTGTGTCGGCTCTGCACTGCTCGGCCCACTTCATCATGGTTCTGACTGCTGGAGCAGCTCTGTCTGTCTGGTCAGGACTCACTCATGTTTGTTAGAAGTGTTCTGGTTGAGTTTCCCAGACACGGTTTGTGTTTATTGGTGTTGTTTATGAGCCTGTCTGCTGATTCCCACCCTTGTAGACTGATTTGTTATAGGAGCTGTAGAACAGATGCAGGTGAATTGTTTAATTTACACAGTTTTTTTATTCTTTACTCATTTTCCATCCAGGTTTTTTTTTGTGAAAGTATAAAAGCAGTTTGCTGATATAATAAACATGATATAACAGTTGGTGGTTCTCCTGTGTGCAGGGATGTTCAGAAACAGAAGGCTCTGGTGAAGAATGAGTCTCTGCTGACCATGTTATCAGGTGAGAAATGGCAGCACATCATGATGCCTGATGCCCATTTCATGTTTGTGTGACACATGTAAACTAACATGGGTCACTGTTCCTCTGTGAGTCTGATCCAGTCATGTTATTGTGCCCAGGTGCTGACACCACAGTGTGTCAGTCTCTGCTGACTCAACAGGGAGTCCCAGTTATCGAACTGTCCAATGGGAAGTCATACTGCTTCAGCTCCTCGCTGGAGACATGGTGAGAAACTGAAGAGTTCATGTGTTGGTGTGCTCAGTTGTCTGTTTAAGATGTATGATTTGTGTGTATTGAATTTTAAAGACAAAAAGGAGCCAGTGAGTTGCACCTGTGCCAGCGGTGGTGTTAAAAGAATTTCTAAAGAAGCAACGAAGTCACTGGAATCTTTCAATAAGAGATTGGTTTACTTGCAGCAAGGAGACAAGTCAGCATAGGCATACAGAGTTGTCTGAATAAGCTAGTCTAAACATCACAATATATAGTACAAAGGGAACTCCCTAAAGAC